TAAAAGATAAGGGAAAATCAGTTATTTTGAAGCATCTACTCATTAACTGAAACTTGAAATTTCTCCTGGGTCCTCAAGGAAGCTGTTGTATGTCAGAGCGACTTCATATCAACCCTGGTATGAGGATAAGTTCATGACATATTCCAAAGCTAAGTGTGGTAAAGGAAACAAGGCAATGCAGGCTTCAACAGTGGGCTTCATTCAGAATTTCTAGAGAAATGAATGAGTTGCTCAATTTTTGAATGAATTGCCTCCTCCATAAACATTTCTCAAACATGAAATTTTGAATTTTGGGCAATAGAGGTAAATGTTCTCTCTGCCAAGAGCCAGCAGTACACGTATTATTGCTAAAGAAGGCAGATGCACACAATCACTGAAGCTGTGGACAGAAACGATGTCTTCTTAGGAAATTCGAGCAATCTAATGAGGATAGCTGCATAGATGAAAGACCTTTCCATCTCTCCACAAAATAACTTTTAGAAAGAAAAATTTTAAAACAAGTGGGTACTTCAAAACATTCAGGGAAAAATAGAATGAAAAGGTGTTTATTTTGATGCAAATTTTAAATAATTTTTATTTACTTATTTACTTGAAAGGCAGAGACAGAAAGCTAGAGATCTCCCATTTGCTTGTTCCCTTCCATTTTTTGCTTTTAATTATTATTTGAAATACTTATTTATTTAAATATTTATTTATCATATAGGCAGCTCTTTCATCCATTGGCTCACTGCCCAAATGGCTCCAACAGCCAGGTCTGGGCCAGGCTAAAGCCAGGAGCCAGGAAATCCATCTTGGTCTCTCACATGGGTGGCAGGCCCCCAAGCATCTGCACTATCATCTGCTGCCTTCCCAGGCACATTAGCAGGGAGATGGATGGGAAACTGAGCAGCTGGGACTTGAACGGACACTTCAATATGGGATGCTGGCATCCCAAAAAGTAGATTAATCTGCTACAACACAACGACAGCCCCTGGTTAGTGAACCTAAATGCCTCCAACAGCCAGGGCTGGTCTGGGCCAGGCTGAAGTCAGTAACTGGGCACTCAACCTGGGTCTTCTTATGTAAGTGGCAGGGGCCCAATTACTTGAGCCATCCTCTGTTTTCTCCCAGGGTGTGCATAAGCAGGAAGCTGGAATTGGGAGCAGAGGTGGGACTTCAACCCACCGTCTCCCACTCTGGCCCAGGCCCTCTGACAAATGTCACCACCAGCTGTTCTGTGGATACTGCTTCCCCTCCAAAGATGTCAGACTCAGCTGAGGAGGGCCGGGGGGCAAGACAGCCTCTTCTGCTCTTCCATTTCTTTATTTTTCCACCTTCCCTCAGAGGCAATAGTTCCTTTTTTTCACTTTTTCATTCTTTCAAGTTCTCTTTGACCCTGTTAAATACTTCCCTAGCTTCTAGTGGTTAACACTTGTTGTATTAAATGTTCCCCATTCAAATATCTGGTGTGGTTGTCTCATGAGTGCCTTCACTGCTGCCAGCAGCCATAAGGAATGGTGTATATCTAGCCTAGGAAGGCACTTCAGAAATCCACAGAAAAATACGTATCATGAAAAGCAGTGCACGTGGCAGGTGTACTAAGATGTCACCGGAGGTGCCCACATCCCATAACTGGAGTGCCTGGTTTGAGTCCTGGCTGCCGTTTTGATCCAGCTACTTGGTAATATGTACCTTGGGAATGCAGGGCATGATGCCTATACTAGTTGGGTCCTTGTTACCACGTTGGAGATTTGGATTGGGTTCTGGGCTCCTGGCTTCAGCCTGGCCTAGCCCTGGCAGGTGGAGGCATCTAGGAGGTGAACCAGTGGATGGAAGATCTCTGTGTGTCATTCTGCCTTTCAAGTAGGTGAAAATACATTTTTAAAAAACACGGTGAGGGGCTGGGTCTGTGGCACAGTGGTTAAGCCTCCGCCTGCAGCACCAGCATCACATATGGGCACCGGTTTGATTCCTGGCTGCTCTACTCCCAATCCAGCTCCCTGCTAATGGCTTGGAAAAGCAGTGGAGAATGGCCCAAGTGCTTGGGCCCCTGCATCCATGTGGGAGACTTGGAGGAAGCTCCTGGCGCTGGGCTTCAGATTGGCCCAGCTCCAACTGTTGAAGCCATCTGGGGAGTGAACCAGCGAACGGAAGATCTCTCCCTTTGCTTCTCAAATAAATAAATCTTTAAGCACACACACACACACACACACAAATGGGGGCCAGCCTTGTGGTGCAGTGGGCTGTCTCTGCTTGTAAAGCCAACATCCTGTTTCAGAATGCCAGTTCAAGTCCCAGCTGCTCTGCTTCTGATTCAGTTCCCTGCCATTATACCTGGAAAGGCAGCAGACGATGTTCAAGTGCTTGGGCCCTGCCACCCACACATGAGACCCAGGTGGAGTTCCTGGATTTGGATTTCAGCTTGGGTCCACCTGGAGAGTGGACCAGCAAGTGGAAGATCTCTCCGCTGCTTTCGCAGGTACATTAGCAGTGAGAAGGATCAGAAGTCTAACAGCCGGGAATGGGCGCCCAGGTGGCAGCCTCAACCTGCTATGCCACAGCACCAGCTCCAAATAAATCTTTTAAAAATAAAAATACAGTGAAGACCTAGTACCAAAAAAATGTAAAATATCTCATTTTTACATCAATTCCATGAAGAAATGGAATGTTTGGTATATTAAGTTCAAATATATTAAAATCAATCTTACCTAATTTTAACAGGATTACTAGAAAATTTACGTATTTGTGGCTTGTACCCTAGTTAGCTAAATCCTCCCTGCAAGGCTGGAACAACTTGGCTGCTTTGCGTAGACAAGTTTTCTAATATCCAACAAGCTCCACTTTGGTGAAATGGCTCTTCAACTGTGCTTCCTCAAATTTATTAGCTTTTTATTTTTAAATTATTTATTTGAAAGTCAGAATTATGGAGAGGAAGGGAGAGAGAGAGAGAGACATGTTCCATCTGCTGGCTCATCCTCAAGATGGCAATAGCCAGGACTAGGCCAGGCCGAAGCCAGAATTTCCTCCAGGTCTCCCACATGGGTGGCAGGGGCTCAAAGACTTGGACCATCTTCTGCTTTTCTCTGACCATTAGCAGCAGAGCAGGGAGGACACAACCTGCACCTATGTGGGAAGCCAGCGTTGCAGGCCGCAGCTTAACCCACTAAGCCACAATGCCAGCCCAAGTTTATCAGCTATAATTCTGGTATGTATTCAGGGATTGCAAACACTGTTAATCCGCATTCCCCAACCCTCCTCAGCCACAGTGCAAGGCAGCAGCTCGGAGGCTGATTTTGGCTATATAAATTTCTCTTCTGTCATTTCCCTCACTTCCCCCTCTTTAACACATTTTTTTCTCAGTATAAATTACATTTATGAACACATACACTACATAAATCAATCTCGGAAAGTACCTCCAGAAGAATTCATAAAGTAAGGGATGCAGTACAGCAAGGAGCACTGGACTGCACATTAGGAAAAAATCCAGCTTATACTCCCAGCTCTGATCTCTTTGGGTCATCTAAGTCTCAGGCCCTTTGTTTCTACATTTGCTCAGAGAGAGGTAGGGCTGAGATCAGTTTCATTCAAACTGTCATGAAATCCTTCATGGATTAAAAATCAACTTTCTTTCTTAAATTACTAGAATGGAAAATGGAACAATACACTCATTAAATACATTTTCTAAAACTTTTGCTTCAAGTACATTATTTATATGGTGGTTGCAATGCCAAATATTTCTTACTTCAATAGTTAGTTTGAAAGCCACTGATGTAGATAATTTCCACAAAATCCTATATAGTTTGGATTCTAACAGATTCTAAAATTATTCCAATACCAGTAAATCGTAAGATATAAAATCACAACTTAATATGGAAAGTTTTAGCAAAGCTAAAATTTATTTTGGTTCAATACTCTGCTTGCTATCAGGCATTTTCACATTTACTTTTGCCTTTAAAATATAAAAGCAAACATGTGAGGTATTTTACAGTGTTTTTAAAAAATTACTTCCTTAATTTATTCGGTGAAAAGGAGGGGTATAAGTATTCCAAGAGAAAAATCAAAAACCATACTTACACTATTTCCAATTGCTTGTATACATCCTCTACATGTATCACATACTTTAGCATAAAGAGAACAGAAAACCAATTCAAATGACAGGGAACCTTTCTTGTAATTTTTGTCTACAGGTGCTCTTTAACCTATCAATTGTCCACTCTACGCACAAGGTTTAATTGCTTTCAAAATCTGAAATAATTTTAAGGTGATCTAGTACTCTGGAAATTGTCCTCACATAGGCACACTGAAGTCTACTAATAGCACAAATTTTCAGAGACAATTTCACAACAGAAAAAGGCAATGACAACAGTTCAGTTGCCCTTGAGGAAGTAGAAAAAAAGGTATAGGAACAGTTTTGTGAAAATGTAGCACCACTACCTCAATTAAGAGTTAATTTTAACATGTCAAAATTATCTCTGAATTACATGTATTTTTTCAAATAATCCGATCTCATATTTAGAAGTTCAAGTTATATAAACTGTTATATTGTTTTCCTTTTAATTAGTTCAACACTGACATCAAGTTATTTTTTTACAAAACAAAAAACATTTCTTGATAAACAGTGAATACTGACCACATTGTGAAAAAGGAAAGTATTTTTCAACATTAAGCGAATTTATTCCATATGTAAACTTTCCTCAAAAGAAATATTACAATTGTGCTAAAAACAATCTTGTCAAGTTCTGAGTGTATTTGATAAAAACATTTTGATCTTCCCAGTGTTTTTCACTTGAGTAAATTTCTTTAGCAATCCTATCAGTTCTCTAAAGCTGTGCAACAAATCTACAGAACACAGCTTACAGACACCAGATAGAAAGCACCCTTCTACCTGTATGCTAGCAATAATCATATCATCAAATTATTTTTTATAATCAAGTACTGAATTTTAAATATATATTGAGTGTATGTATGTATGTATTTTCAATGAATATTCATATTCAATGAATAAGCTTAGGACCAGCACATTGAATTTCATACGGTTTATTTAAATGATTGCTGGTTCCAGATAATTAAAAACCACAAATTATATGGCAGCAACTGTAAGACACATTTAGTTCTTTAAAAGATAGTTTTAAAGTTATCACATAATGGTGGAATATAACTTTAAAAAATACAAATGACATTTATAGCGTAAGGCTATGTGGTTGAATAATCAGCAAATTAAAGAAAAAAGCATCAGAGAAAGATTTGAAAAGCGAAGCATGTTTCCTGTTAAGAGAATGTATTCTTTCCTTTCTAAAAATAGGTAATTAAAATACATTAAAATGCCTGAACAAAATGTTCCTGAAATTCCTAGAAAAGAAAGAATTAAATTTCCATAGCAGTAATTGATTTCAGACTATCACAGCAAGCCAAAAATTAATTTGTTGGTAGCCAGAAGATGTAACTGCTCATTTTTAGAGAAATTTATTACATTTGAAACAATACAGTAGAATTCTCAAAAGTTTACTCATTAAATATAGTTTACTTCTTACAAATCTCCTTTTGAAAATGTAATTTGTATATGGCGCAACCTCAGAAGTTTGAATTCAAAATGAAATCTGAAGGCAATAGCCAGGGAAATTACATCAGAGTGCTTTGTCAAATATCTGTACAAATAAGTACATACTTCTGTGATACAGTAGGAAAAAGGTGATTCTAAATATATCCAAGTAAATGCAGAAAAATACATTACAATTTGAGGCAGATCATGCTAAAATATAATTTACAATGATTAGTTTGCATTTAAGATGGTTAATGATGCTTCTTAAACCAATGAAATCAAGGAAGCTAAGTTTTGCAGTACTTGCTCAGTCTTTCATACTTAACATTAGTTCATCTGATGAAAAGCAAATAAAATTGGAAAAAGTCAAAGACCTGATCCTTCTCTTTATGCTTATTATTTTCTTACTCGGTCATACTAAATGCAAACAAATAAGTACAGCATCAAGATTTTTCACATGTTAAAATGAAGACCAATGACTTGTGAAGGCAGACTGTGTACCATGTAGTACATACATAACAGATACGCTTGCAGTTACAATCAACTCAATTTTTTAAATAACATCAAGATTTACAAGCCAAAATAAACATTTGATTTAAAAATTCTGCTATTCAAGATAACTTAGTTGATCTTTTTTTCTCTTTGAGATTGGTAGGAGTTGAGTCTTTAAAAACCTGAAGAGGAACTGGTAAGAGGAAATAAATCCTCAATGCTTTAAAAAACTCAACTAGGTAGGAGTCCATACAGTTACTATGCTGGCTGGCATGGAAAAAGGTGTTCTCTGCCACAGAACCATTCACTTTCCCTCAGATGTACTTCCTTCAAGCCATCTATACAATGATGTAAATCAGCTCACCCATGATTAAAACTGAAGTAACCCTTCAAAAATAGAAGCAAGACACCTCACCCAAAAAGATCTTTTAAATCATTGCTACCTGAACTGCTATTAGTCATAGTAGTCGGTGGCTGTGCAAAGTTCTGTGGATTAAAAAAAGGATTACCCTGCACACCAAAGGCAGATTGTCCTAGCATGTTCATCTGCGTCCCCATTACTGAGCTGCCCATACCTGCAGAAACTTGAGAAGGAACAAACTGATTAAGCCACTGATTTGGTTTCTGTTGTGATAGTTGGTTCATGCTAACTTTGGGTTGCTGAGGACCAAAGAGATTATTAAGGGCAGACATATCTGTAGGTCTTTGTTGGATTTGTTGGGTCTGCTTCACACCAGCAGCAAGAGGAACACTCAAATCACTGAGGCTTGGAAAAGTGGGAGCCATCTTGGTCACGCCACATGTGCTTGGATTGCTGAAGAAGTTCTGGTTTGTATTGACCGGCATGCTGAATCCTGAAGTCTGAAAGCCCATGTTGGCATTTAGGCCATTTGTCAAATTTCTTTTTGTATTATCAATTGGTGTAGAAAACTTCATCCTTCCCGTGTAAGGAACAGAAGTGAAAGTACTTGAAGCAGACACTTTAGGGGTACCAATAGAAAGGCTGGTCAAAGATGACATATTATCCATCAAAGTATCTGTCAAGTCCTTAGTCTGAAAAATATGAGAGAATTACTTTATCTCTAAGAAATCCAAATTATTTTAAAAAACATTTGACAGATTATATTATAAAGGAAAAATTTAAAATTGAGCTAAACAGTCTACCCCAAATCAGCCATCTAGTCTACAGGGCAAATAAAGCTTGCAACCTATTTTTGTATGGCTTTTACAAATGAACATTTCCAACTAATTTCATGATAGGGAACACTAACTTCAAATTCCAGTCAAACAAAATGTTATTTCCTCCAAAACAGAATTGCTTTCTTCTCATTAGTATTTTTATTATAAAAGATGATTTTAGAATTTTATCAGAATTTTATGGGAATTTTTTTCTCTATTCTTTCATGAGGGTTCTTCAGAAAGTTCAAGGAATACATGCATTATGAATAAACTGCATGGTTTTCAAAACTTTTTGCACCAAAATAAACATCTTTCAACTCTATTTTCTCTCACTTTTTTTTTTTTTTTTGGCAGTTAGACAGTGAGAGAGACAGAGAGAAAGGTCTTCCTTTTTCCGTTGGTTCACCCCACAATGGCCGCTACAGCCGGCGTGTTGCAGCCGGTGCGCTGCGCTGATCCGAAGCCAGGAGCCAGGTGCTTCCTCCTGGTCTCCCATGTGGGTGCAGGGCCCAAGCACTTGGGCCATCCTCGACTGCACTCCCGGGCCACAGTAGAGAGCTGGACTGGAAGAGGAGCAACTGGGACAGGACCAGCGCCCCAACCAGCACTAGAACCCGGGGTGCAAGCCGCAGGCGGAGGATTAGCCTAGTGAGCTGCAGCGCCGGCCTCTCACAAACATTTTAAGGTTCCTTCATATTAAGTACTTATAAAATATTCTTGATTTTGCCTCTTGGCCTGCAAAGACTGCACACCCCGCACCCCCACCCAGAGGATGAGTTTATTAAATGGTAACAAAAAATAATTTAAAAATTTTAAGATAAAAATATTTCTGAAATCAATAAGAATGTAAACTTTCTGAAGGAGGGCCTTAACCTACTGTAATAACATCAGGGCCTAAACTAGGACTTGGAACACAATAGGAAATAAATTCATGTACATACACCTTCCTAAATCAAGGTCATGCATATACCCCTTCCTAAAACAAGCTACAAATCTATCTGTAATTGGAAAAACAAAAATAGAAAATTATTTCTAGATCAAAACCACTTAAGAGCATGAATATAATATTCCTTATCCCTTCTAAGTGAACAAAGTTTAATTAGTGCCCAATCTTTAAAAAAAAAAAAAGCCCTCTTATGCATCCAGCTTCCTCTTCATTGGTAACAAGCACTATTATGAAACATTATATACGTTAGGCAGGTTATGGAGGAGCTGTTAAAAAAATCCTTCATGCCCATGCTTCTTAGAAATTATAAATTATTTATTTATTTTTAAAACTGAAATGATGGCCGGAGCCGTGGCTCACTTGGTTGGTCCTCCACCTGCGGCGCCAGCATCCCATATGGGCACCAGGTTCTAGTCCCAGTTGCTCCTCTTCCAGACCAGCTCTCTGCTATGGCCTGGGAGGGCAGTGGAGGATGGCCCAAGTGCTTGGGCCCTGCACCCACATGAAAGACCAGGAGGAAGCACCTGGCTCCTGGCTTCAGATTGGCACAGCACCGGCCGTATCAGCCATTTGGGGAGTGAACCAACGGAGGGAAGACCTTTCTCTCTGTCTCTCTCTCTCACTGTCTATAACTCTACCTGTCAAATAAATTAAAAAAAAAAAAAAAACTGAAATGACATTAACATTCTTTTTTTTTTTTTTTTTAATTTATTTGAAAGTCAGAGTTACTCAGAGAGAGGAGAGGCAGAGAGAGAACCAGAGTGAGAGCGAGAGCGAGAGTCTTCCATCCGCTGGATCACTCCCCAATTGGCCGCAACGGACGGAGCTGCGCCGATCGGAAGCCAGGAGCCAGGAGCTTCTTCCAGGTCTCCCACGTGGGTGCAGGGACCCAAGGACTTGGGCCATCTTCTGCTGCTTTCCCAGGCCACAGCAGAGAGCTGGATTGGAAGTGGAGTACCCGGGTCCCGAACCGGCGCCCATATGGGATGTGGGCTCCCCAGGCCAGGGCATTAACACACTGTGCCACAGCACCAGCCCCACAAATGATTTTTTGAAATATATTTTTATGTAAACTAGTAGTAGACTAAGTTCCACACTACCTAATCGCTTAACAGTTCTATACATGAAATTATGCAAAAGAAATCAACTCTGACCTGTTTAACTGGAGCAATAGGTGTGTGCACTTGGGGTTTAAGAGGCTGCTGGCTTTTCAACTTCTGTGCTTGCTCTTGTTCTTTTGCTAATTTTTGTTTTTCTTCAAGCGTAAGTGATACCTTTAAACAAAAAAAGCAAAATAATCAATTTTATAATTCCACTGTAAAACAAAAATATGTTCTTGGGTAAAATATATCTTGATATTTTAGTGATACTACTTCAATGTAAAACAAACTATGCCTGCCATAAATCAAGTTACATCACAAATTACTATAAGGTTTAACTTAAGGTAAAAACTCACAGGAACTGTGCTAAAACATTTCCAGTATGAAAACTATTATTATTTTAAAATCATTCATTAGAATAATTTTTCCAGATAATATGATTAAGTGATTTCATTCTATTAAATTGGAAAATCTAATTCAACTTTAATTTCACTCCAAAATTATATTAAAAATTCATATACATCTAAAAATAATTAAACATTGTTTCATACCTTAATGTCTGCATCAAATTCACTATTTGTCTTTAGTTTTATCAGTTTTGCTAAACTATAAACTCACAATATATTCTCTTAGAATTCTGGAAAATATTATGTCCAGTAGTCCCTTGGCCTCATATTTCTAAATGAGTAGGAGAATGTCCTCAGCAGATGCTGAAAATTGACTTAAATACTTTTTATATTAAATGTTAACCAAGGTTAAGCCACTGCCTGCAACACAAGCATCCCATATGGGTGCTGGTTCAACTCTCGGCTACTACATTTCTGGTCCACCTCCCTGCTAGTGTGAATTGGAAAGCCGCAGAAGATGGCCCAAGTACTTGGTACCTGTATCCATGTGGGAGACCTGGATGAGGCTCTTGGGTTTGGCCTGGCCCAGCCCTGGCTGTTGTGACTATTTGGGGAATGAACCAGGGGATAGAAGATCCCTCTCTTTCTCTCTTTCCTTTCTCCCTCTCTCTGTAACTGCCTTTCAAAAAACAAAATAAATCTTTAAATGCTAACCAAAAGTCCAACAGGAAAATATCATTGTATAGTTTATTATTCAAAATCAGAGGGAGAGCAAAATATTAACAAGAAATAAAGAAAAAAATGTGTTCAGATTTTTCATCTTCCAGTGAGATGAAATCAAATGTATTTTGAAAATCCTCTTTAAAGCATTGTTGGGTCTATCAGTAGTTAGTGATCAATATCACATATCTCACATAAACCAAGCAGGGTACATCATTAGTTCTATAGTATTCCCCCTCAAGACACAGAAACTTAATCTGATTATGTGAAAACCTCGGACAAATTCAATTTGAAGGACATGCTGCCAAATTCTTTGGAAATAGGCCGGCGCCGCGGCTCACTAGGCTAATCCTCCGCCTAGCGGCGCCGGCACACCGGGTTCTAGTCCCGGTTGGGGCGCCGGATTCTGTCCCGGCTGCCCCTCTTCCAGGCCAGCTCTCTGCTGTGGCCAGGGAGTGCAGTGGAGGATGGCCCAGGTGCTTAGGCCCTGCACCCCATGGGAGACCAGGAAAAGCACCTGGCTCCTGGCTCCTGCCATCGGATCAGCGCGGTGTGCCGGCCGCAGCGCGCTAGCCGCGGCGGCCATTGGAGGGTGAACCAACGGCAAAAGGAAGACGTTTCTCTCTGTCTCTCTCTCTCACTGTCCACTCTGCCTGTCAAAAAAAAAAAAAAAATTCTTTGGAAATAAAGAGGTTAAAATTTATGGCTGACCATAAAATTTAAAATTGCTGACCATGGAAACGAAAGGAAAGAGACATGAGGTTGTTAGTCTCAAAAACAATAGAAAAAGTTTGGAACTCAAACCATTGGGAATATAGTTGAGTAAGTAGGACAGAAATCAAAATACTGAAGAGCCAGCAATAACTGGGGAGTACCCAAGGTAGATGGACTGCATAAACCTACATTGGAAACCATCCATACAGGAACTGAGGCAGAGATGGACACAGAAGAATTTTTCATGGGGTGTGACAAATACAAGAGAAAAGACGAGAGAGTCAGACAATCTAGAAGTATTATGCCATGGAAGGATACGTAATAAGGAAGCTAAAATTCTTAAAAATGCTTATTCTCAATATGAGATATGTTTCACGGATAAGAATCTCATAATTTTAGAATGTTTCTTAAGACACTAAATAGTACTTACCAACAAAAAATGTGGATTATAAGTAATCCTACAATATAAATGAAGAGTACTAAAAGAAGAATAAACAAACTCACTTTTTTATGTTTATTCTGTAGTGCATCCTCTTTATTTTCTGATTCACCACCAGTCAGAAAGTCTGCTCCAATGTTGTTAAAAACCTTGTCGATCTGCTGAAATAGAAAAAAAATCAATTGTTTCAATAGATTTCATGAAATTGTGATTTTATTGCTTAAAATGAAAATATCTCCAAATAAAATACATTCTCACTTTCTACAAAAATTAAATATCTTACCTGATTCCCAATATTTGTAATATTTGTTACTTTTGATTCCTCAGAAGCATTCATTTGATTTCCTATGTCCAAAGATCTGCAAGAAAATTGAATTATGACAAAAATAAATGTATTTTTTTTTAATTTGTTTTAAAAATTGTTTATCTACATAGAAATTACTCGAACCCAAATAAACTGAGACCTCCTTCTTTAAGGACAGTCATCCTTTCCATTATTTTCTATTATTAATGTGCTTGCTCAAAAGATAACATTTTTAAGACCATTTTATAATTCTGTATTTGAGATTCACTGGAGAATTTTCTCAGGGTATCATAAAACCAAGCAGACATGGCTCTTGTTGTCAAATAGCTTACTATCTCACTGAGAGTGAGATTTTATATGAGGAAGCTAAGTGATTAGGTTCAGAATCTTTGATATTAACAATAAATGCTAAAATCACTGTGAAGTATGCCAGATCTGCCTTGAAAAATAGGTAGGATTTAGATAAAGCAAAAGGTAAGTTCCATTTCCCCCATCAAAATTTTGTTTCAGCCTTTAATAGACATTTAAAACTATTTTTTCTGGGCTCTTATGTTAAGACAGTCAAACTATTAAGCATCACATTCATATATACCACAGAATAACTTAGAGCATACAAAGGACTATTTCACCTGCTTCTTCAGTATGTGTTTTTATTTCCATAAAGTCTTCATGTTACCCTGGGTATAAGCATAAGCTTGTATTGAGGACTTTGCTCACGATCGATAGCAATTTACTGATTTTAGACATCTCTGGTTCAAGATTAAATGTCAGCTGGTAAACTAAATTCATGTGTCTGCTCTGGGGCAAAAACTAAAACGGAGTTCAGATTCCAATAAACTAGCACTATCCAGTGCATAATTTCTACATTTTCTGGTGTTTTGTTCTGGTGTTTTGCAAATAATTAAATTCTCCCTAAAAATAAAGAGGTGACTTCTGTGGCAGTGTATATGAAATTAATGCTCTGACAGTGTTTCTGGAGTTAGACAAAGGAAAAGGGAAAAAAAATCAAAACACAATGGGTTCATAGGTTTGAAAATATTTACAAGTGGTACTTTTGGTGTTCAGCAACTACAGTGGCAGTGGCTAAGGTTGATGAGGAATTTTTCTCAGAAATTGAATTTTCCTTAGCAGAGAAAATGTGAAGATTCTATCATATTTTACTTTTATACTCAGAAGTTAAATTAGATTTTCATTAATAATCTATTTTTACTTAAAATTATTCACATGTTTTACAGATGGAAAAATTAAAGCCCGGTGATTTTTTATTCCATTTTCTAGAAAATCAGTTATGATAGAATTTTAATCTCACTCTGACATTGTGCAACTCATTTATAATCGACTTACTTCTGCTGTTCTTGCATTATATGAAGTTGCTCCAGTTTAGTCTTATGTTCAGATTCCAATCTATTAAGCATTTCTTTTATGACAGAAATGAAAGAATTGAACTGTAGAATAAGAAATTAATATGATTATGACATTTCATGTTATCAGTAAATGTAATCAAGTAAGAGACTTCAGTGAGTTATCATAATAATCTTTACCAACAGAACAGGATTCTCTCAGAGTCAATGTCTCAAAAAAGACCGTATAAACTCAGCATATCATAGCAAGCTTTCACAATGCCTTTGTATAGTGGTGATGGAATAATTACGGTTTTTAAGTTCCAGAAAACAGGTCTCCATGAGGTTTATACCCTGAGTTGTGTAACAGTTTTATTCAGGAGTTCTATATAAGCTTACCCTCAGAAGGTACATACTGATTTTTCTAGGATAATCCAAAACTGAACACCTGAATTTATGCCCACCTAGAAACAATCCATTTAATAATGCATAAGAAATTCCTTTTTATTTGTTATAAAAATTACATGTTCAGCTAAAGTAAATCTTGTTTCCTGAAAAGTTGGTAGAAATATTAGATGTACAAAATCTATTTTTTAAATAATTAAATTTTAGAAGTATATATAACTTTACATTGCAACATAATTTAAAGTCTGGTTAAACTTTGGTTAAATGCTGATGATTCTTATAGTATTTCAGGATCATTGTAAACAATTTATTTCAATAACACCAGATAGTATAGTGAAGACTCTAGAAAACCGCTTTCCTCCTTTCCTCAAATCTTCTAACTACATCTTTATGCCACCTACCCATACACACATACTATTTTACTAATCCTTACAACTCTTCAAAGTAGGCTTATTACTTTTATTTTTCAAATGAAGAAACTTGGGCTCAGCAAGAGGCAAAGCAAGATCCTCGGGGATACTAACTAGTACAGAAGCACTAACAGCCACAGAAGTTAAGTGTGTCCCTACATCCTGTGCTCTCTTTGGCTACATTACACTGAAGCTTCTTCATCTTATCATGAGAATGACAAATGATAGAGTTCCTTAGTCATTTACCATGATCTTCTGTTAAGTAGGCTTTTAAATTTTTTTATTAGTGTGTAACATAGTAACAGGAAAGTAAACATACAAGGGCATAGCTCAAAAAATTCACACACTGAATATACCCAATGTAACTAGCAACGAGATGGAGAAACAGAACTTTATCTGTACCCCAAAAGCTTCCTTCTGTCCCCTCATCCAGTTGTTATTTCACAGCCTCATACCCTATAGATAAACACTATTTTACTAGGCAGCATGGATTAGTTTAGACTGTTTTTGTACTTTATATAAGTAGAATCATTTAGTAGATCCTCTTCTATGCCTGGCTTCATGTGCTCAACATTTTGACTGCGAGATTCACCTATATGTTGCATGTAGTTTATACAGAAAAGTTAACATGATAGGCTTGAACTGCTAGCCTTGGAAAAAACTGCTTACCAAGGTTGGCCTTTGGCTGGTGTCTGGGAACCTGGATTTCAGGGAAGTTCCCATTATTAACTGGTAACACTAGCTCACTGTGCCTAAACTGTACAAAGAGTGCATTCTATGCTGAACACCTGCTTTCCTTCTGTGAGTCTGGAATTTGAGCACATGCCAGACAGAAAGTGCTACTTGATCAGCCTTCAATAAAAACTTCGAGTACTGAGTCTCTAATGAGTTTCTCTGGTTAGCAATACTTCACACTTACTGTCATAACTCACTGCTGGGGAAAGTAAGCACAACCTGTGTGATTCCACTGCAAGTCCTCTCCGGAAGCCTGTTTTTAGCTTCCCCTAGATTTTGTCCTATGAACCTTTTCCCTTTCCCAATTTTGTTTTTTCTAAGATTTGTCTATTTGATTTTTTAAAAAAGATTTATTTATCTGAAACAGTTACAGAAAGAGAGGGTTACACATACATGGCCAGGTCTGGGCCATGCTGAAGCCAGGAGCTGGGAACTCCATCCTGCTTTCTCATATGGATGGCAGTGGCCCAAGTCCTTGGGTCATCTTCTGCTGCATTTTCCAGGCACAGCAGCAGGAAGCTCTATGGGAAACCCAGTAGCTGGGACTCACACCAGCACTCCGATATGGGATGCACTGTAAGTGGCAGCTTAACATACTGCACCACAATGCCGGCCGCAAGATTCTTTCACCTAAGAAATCAACGCCATGGGTATGACTATATGCTGAGTCCTGTGAGTCCTTCTACAGAATCATTCTATCTGGGAGTGATCTTAGGAAGCCCACAAACACAAGTTATAGATAATTCAGTGTGATCGCTACATAGTATTGGCTAGTTTTTTAATCAAATGCTAAAATCACATTTCCCTAAGTTATTTTATCTTTTTATCTAATGCATACTACACTTAATTTATTTTAAATGAGAGCTGACAGAAGAGGAAATTCTTGAATTAGGAACTTTGACCATGAAATAAACAGGAAAGCAGAACATACCCATGCTAAACTACCGTCAAATAGAAGACAGGAATTAAAGTATTTCTGTTGACAGAAATAGGTCCTAAAAAACAAATCATAGGGGCCGGTGCTGTGGCGTACTGGGTAAAGCCACCATCTGCAAGTGCCAGCATCCCATATGGGCACCGGTTTGAGTCCTGGCTGCTCCATTTCTAATCCAGCTCTCTGTTATGGCCTGGGAAAGCAATAGAAGATGGCCCAACTCCTTGGGCCCCTGCACCCATGTGGGAGACCTGGAAGACGCTCCAGGCTCCTGGCTTCGGATTAGCGCAGCTCCAGCCATTGCAGCCATTTGGGGAGTGAACCAGCAGATGGAAGACCTCTCTCTCTCTCTGCCTCTTCTTCTCTCTCTGTGTAACTCTGACTTTCAAATAAAAAAATAAATCTTTTTAAAAAACAAATCATAAAGCTGGAGGAAAAAACCCACAAGATTGTAAGTGGCCTTATGTATCCTAAAGTATACATTTGGGAATATTAAAAAACATCTTAAATCAGAAATAGGAGAACTAAGAACAGAAATAACAAAAAGTTCAAGGGTGCTCTAGACCTATTATCCTATTCCTTTCTAATATTCACTCTCTGTCATCCCATCCTTGCCATCCAAGAAACTTTTCCAGAGACTTACCCTCCAACTTCAAATGAAATGTTGGATCTGATCAATTTTACCAATTTCTCTACCTCCAAAACTTCACTCACTTAGCACTCTCCCCAATGCCAAAAGCTCTCCTGCTAAACTTCAAGTTTGTGAACAAAAACAGCTTGCTATTAATCTGTTATTAAGCACTGCCTAAAATAGTCCCTAACAACATGGCACCTGGCGGATGTTCGGGGGGGCGTGTCTGCGGCCGCTGCAGTTAAGCCACGTGAAATCGGATCACCTGCAGGGATAGGTCCGCTTTAGTTCCAGACACGTGGACAGTGCATGATCCCTATATGCCCCCTGTGCGTGGTCCACCCATGGCTGCATGAACTTTTCGCTGATTGGCTCCTCTACTGAGCATGTCTTTTGTAAGCTTTTTTTTTTTTTTTATTTTTTTTATTTTTTGATAGGCAGAGTGGACAGTGAGAGAGAGAGACAGGTCTTCCCTTGCCGTTGGTTCACCCTCCAATGGCCGCCGCTGCAGCCGGCGCAGCACGCTGATCCGATGGCAGGAGCCAGGAGCCAGGTGCTTTTTCCTGGTCTCCCATGGGGTGCAGGGCCCAAGCACCTGGGCCATCCTCCACTGCACTCCCTGGCCATAGCAGAGAGCTGGCCTGGAAGAGGGGCAACCGGGACAGAATCCGGCGCCCCGACCGGGACTAGAACCCGGTGTGCCGGCGCCGCAAGGTGGAGGATTAGCCTATTGAGCCACGGCGCCGGCTCTTTTTTTTTTTTTTTTTTTGACAGAGTGGACAGTGAGAGAGAGAGAGACAGAGAGAAAGGTCTTCCTTTGCCGTTGGTTCACCCTCCAACGGCCGCTGCGGCCGGTGCACCGGCTGATCCGAAGGCAGGAGCCAGGTGCTTCCTCCTGGTCTCCCATGCGGGTGCAGGGCCCAAGCACTTGGGCCATCCTCCACTGCATTCCCGGGCCACAGCAGAGAGCTGGCCTGGAAGAGGGGCAACCGGGACAGAATCCGGTGCCCCGATCGGGACTAGAACCCGGTGTGCCAGCGCCGCAAGGCAGAGGATTAGCCTATTGAGCCGCGGCGCCGGCCTTTTGTAAGCTTTATAAGCCTGTATACTTCCTCAATGAAGTAGTTCCTGCTTCGATAGAACTCACGGGTGCTTGCTGCGGTGTGCTTGACCCGTCGACCTTACCTCTCCCGTTTGCCTTGTCAGGGAGTGCTTGTATTGTCCCTTGCTGGACAGGGGCCAGGCTAAGGCTTAAGACCCCAACACTCTGTGACTCAAATTTTCTCTCAATTCAGTGAATATTTTTGTTTCTGGCACTACATTAAAGACTGAAGTTATAATGAAAATAAACTATAATAACCTGCCCTTCAGAAGTTTATAACCTTCAGGACATTACGTTCATAGCTACTACAACTACAACAAAAGGGTATACAAAGAGAGAATGCTGTAACAATTATTGAACATATAAACCTTTTGCTCAAACATTTAGCGTATCTTGAAAGTTCAAATAACTAAAGCAGACAAAGCACTTAAAGTCTACCTGTTCTAGTCTCAATTTATCCTTCTCCCATTATTCCTCTATTGTGTTATATATTTATCTCCCAAACTAAATTATCCCTTGCTTATGGCAGGTAAACTTAAAATGGTCCCCAATTATTTTCTCCTTCTTCTTGTCATCCTATGAAAGATAAGAATTAACTATCTTTAAGGGTAGGTGGGACGTGTCACTTAGTTCTAACATAAGCAATAGAAAATGGCAAAGAAAATATAGTATCATTTCCTTGATTATATTACAATGTTGGCATTCAGTTAACAGACAGCTAAGAAACTAGGCCCTCAGTCCAACAGCCCAAAAAGAAGAACTAAGGCCCTGAAATCCAGTAGGCCAAAAGGAACTGAATCCTGCTGACAACTAGGTAAGTGAGCTCAGAAGCAATCATTCCTCTACTGAGCCTTCAGATGAGTCCACAGGTCCTGGTGCAGCATTGCAGGAAGACCTAAGCAGAGAATACAACTAAACTGTGTCCTGGCTTGCCTAACCTACAGATAGCACATGATAATAAACACATGTTGCTTTAAAACACTAAATTTGTGTAGTAATAAATAATGAATATACTCCCAAAACACATTCTGGAACTTTGTTGTCTGTTCCCAGCCACAAATTTAAAGTGATCCCAAATACTATACATATTTGAACCTCCTGCTCATTATTGTGTCTCCATTAGGTCTTTAATAATCTACCCTTCTACACCACACACTTTCTTCATTTAACTCTGTGGCATATATTTCTTTGTTTTAATACTCTTTATATGTAATATATTTGTATATTTAATGCCAAGAAAACAGCAAGCTAAATAAATTGAATAAATATAAAAAAATATTCTTACCTGATTAAGATTAAGATTATTCTCAATGCTTAGGGGAATCAGATGAGGCAATACTTTTCCAGCAAGCTGCTCTTTGGTGATTCCCAGCTTCTTATGAGTAAAAGTACATTTGTAAATCCCTGATAGGAAAGAATGTGACAAATTTTAAAAGTTGATAGAAATCATGAAAACAGGGTATCTATATGAAATCTGTGAATAATCAATGTAGTACAATTTTTTCTGAGTGCCTAGAATAAGGATGTTCTTATTTACAGATCAGAATGATGTCAGCGTTATAGTCTAGTTTTACATACTATGACATATATTCTATATTGGGTTTATGGTACATTAACTGATAAATACAACATTAAAAAACTTACTAGAACCAGATTCAGTTCTTAAGAGTGACAACATAAGGTTATGGAAATGTTCCTCTATCCTAAATACATCAAAATATGTATTTCAGATCTCATAGTCAAACTTGATGAATCTATTCCCAAGTGTGTAAGTACAAGTACATGGAAAGCATAGGCCCCACACCTATATTCACTTCTTCAGTATATCAAACTTGACATTGTAACTTAATTTAATATCCATCTTTTCCTAAGTCTATTTACTTGCATGTTACATATATTTCCCAAGGCCTTCATTTGCTAAATTAAGCACATTTGCTCCCATTCTCTGAATATATTTGTGTTTTGTATATATTTTTTGTATATAAGTTTTAGAACACACTAACACCTATTATTCTGATAATGTAGATAAGGATTATTTACCCAGAGAGTAACTTTATTGAGCATCTACTAAATGGCTATTTTCTGGGCATTCTGCTCAATACTTTCCCTTCATTTGTTTCACTGAATTCTCAAAATAATCTCATAATGATGTTACTTTCACCCTCATTTAATAAATTAAGAAACTTTGAAAAGTTACCCCAGGAACTGAGAGAGTCAAAAGTTGAGCCAGGGCTGTTTCTACACCAAACTTTTACTTCCCTGAGCACAAAAGAGTCATATCATACCCTAAAAGTTCTATGTCTACAGAGGTCCACAATAAGTACTTGCTAACCATTTCTACAAATATTTACGGAGAGCTTTCAATATAGGCTGTGCACTAGAGATGTCATAAATATATGGATGAGGGCCGGCACTGTGGCGCAGTGGGTTAATCTTCTGCCTACAGTGCTGGCATCCCTTATGGGTGCCAGTTCTAGTCCCAGCTGCTTCTCTTCCAATCCAGCTCTCTGCCATGGCCTGGAAAGCAGTGGAAGATGGTCTAAGTACTTGGGCCATGCACCCACATGGGAGACACAGAGGAGGCTCCTGGCTTCAGATCAGCTCAGCTCCGGCAGCTGCGGTCATTTTGAGAGTGAACCAGCAGATGGAGGACCTTTCTCTCTCTTCCTCTCACTGTCTGTGACTCTACCTCTCAAATAAATAAATAAAACAAAACAAAACAAAACAAAATAAAATAAAATAAAGAATACATGGATGAGTAATAAAGTTTCTCTTAAAAATTAACAAAGAATTTCAAATTTAATAAAAATGAACTTGCTAATGCTTTTGTAATTCTACAGATGTCTGTTTCAACACTGTGACAGAAGCCTGACATTTCTAGATCAGATTCCAATAAGATTAAGAATATAGAACAATTGCGAAGTTTTTTGACAGGGTAATTTATAATTACAGTAACAAAACAGAGTATGCCGCAAGGATATAAGCACATCACTTAGCAGTGACACATACTGGTTAAGATTTATACATATCTAAAATTAAAAACTGGCTCTTCCTATTATCAGTTGTATGATTGTAAATAACTTCTCTGACTCTCAGCTTCCTTGTTATAAACAGAAATAATAGTATCTACACCTCATTGAATTTGGAGGACAAAGTAAGATACAGAAAAAATACTTTGCTTTTTATACATAGAATACCAAACCAAACCAAACCAAACCTAAAAAAAAAAAGGGTTTACTACCAGACTAGAATCAGCATTTCAAATAGCTCTGTCTGCTTCTCTTGCTTTGTACCATTTTAGGGGGAAAACTATTGCAATATTTGTGAAACTAAGATTCCCAAATATCTATTGCTTTGGAAATGTCAAGACTCCACTGCTTTTGCTAAAACTAACACAAAGAGAAAAGCTGTATTTATAGCACTTATCCCATCAATCTTCAATTACTGAACGCTACATACATGAAAGGAGAGTACAAAGGTTCTATAGTTTGGAAAATTCATTTGCATGACTGTAAAATGATAGAGTAGCATCAAATGACATTAAGTTTTCAGCTACCTAAAATTCCCATGAGGACCGCAGGTTCCTTGGATGGAATTTGTTGTAAGAAGGGTAGAATATCATCAAGTACAAACCACTTATCCAAGTATTCCAAAATCTTTCCTAAGCACACTAATGAATTTACACGAACCTATTAAAAGAGGTAAATTGTATTAGTCATTAAGTCTTTGTAATCTAGAACAAAATATTTAAATGTAAACCTAATCTTCATATAGTTTTGAAGCTCTCATCTTTTATTAATATAGGAAATGCATTTATTTACTAACTTCCCTTACTTTTTCAGGAAGAATTTATGATTGCTTCCCCAGGACATACACAGTTAGGTAAACATAAGGAATGGCTTCAGTTTTGAAGCATTTTAGATAAAGTAATTAGAATCTGAAAAGCTTTTACTATATATGTGTGTGTTTAGTAAGAACACTTTTAGGGGAACACTTGAACAATAAAGAGGACACTATTACCCCCATCAAGTAATCAGTTTCACTGGGATTCCTATTTTACTCTAACTTGTGTTCAATTCATTCTTAAACTAAATATTTTAACAAGTAGAATACATTTATATTTGTCTTTATACAGTTTCTATTTCTAAATATATATTTAACAGTTATTGAGACCTAACATTTAGAAGCTATTATCAAAATTATTCATTCAACTGTTTTGATAAATATGTCACACCTTAGTTTTATAGATGAATTTTGCTAAAACAGAGTATCTTTAAGTCAGAATCATAACAACAATAAAACTAACTTCAGTATTCAAAAAAATAAGAAAAGCAGAAATAATTTTTTTGGTTAAAAGTGCCATCTTTCTATAGGAAGAATTTTTCCATTTCCGAAAAATAAAGTACAACTGTTTCTGAAATTCAACAGAAGTGATTTTATAAATTTTAAAAGGTATCTGAATGTCTAACTTATTCTCAGAATCAGTTATATAAAAGGAACTACTGTGTTCTACTGAAATATATAAAGGAAACTGAAAATACCAGTATCATTTTATTTTATGATACATAAAGTACTATTCATAGAAGTCATGAATAAATATAGTTCTTGGAAAATTTTACCTCTTTGTAGAATTTATTTTTCTTTATGTTCAAGGAATAGTATTAAGATGCAATTCTAACTCAGGATTCATGTTTCAGGAATTTCCTAGTTAGAATTTTTAACCTTAGAGATATAGGTCTATATATGTAATTCAGGAATTCACATTGGCCACTCTCAAAGTAGGTAGGAGCACAGAAACACTATAAAAAATATACCTACAAAGTGATACATAAAACACAAATTCATTCTGAGTTACTACCCTACACACTTTTAGTACAACTCCTTGTAAACATAAATTTAAGTGCCAGTTAGCATCTTAAAAAGAGACATAAACATCACCAGGCATTAATTCAGATCATTTGGGTATTTATGCTTCTCAACTCTACATACCCCTGCAATTAGAACATGTACTTTGAGAACATATGCTAAAATGTTTATGCTTCTAAAAAATAAAGTATGATTATAAGATTTTATACAGGGCATTGTGAAACCTGAATTTTCAGCTGTATGTTAACTACTACCATTTCCATCAAAAATTACACAGAATTTTAGAGAAAATGACTGCATTTCAGATCTTTTTAACAATGATGAGGACAGAGACTAGGGGAGGTACAGTGCCCAAGACCACAGCACATCTAAGTAACAAAGTCAGAGTAAGAATTCAAGGTGAGGCCAGCATTGTGGCATAGTCAGTAAGCTGCCTGCCGCCTGCGATAACGATACCACATGGGGCACCAGTTTGTGTCCCGGCTGCTCCACTTTTTTTTTTACTCATTTTCCATGAACATTTTTCTTTATTATTTATTTGAAAGGCAGAGTTACAGAGAGGCAGAGGCAGAGAGGGAATGAGAGGTCTTCCATCTGCTGGTTCACTCCCCAGATGGCTACAACAGCTGAGGCTGTATGGATCCGAAGCCAGGAGCCAGAAGCTTCTTCTAGGTCTCCCACGCGGGTGCAGGGGCCCACAGACTTGGGTATCCTCTACTGCTTTCCCAGGACATAGCAAGAGTGCTGGATAGGAAGTGGAGCTGCCAGGATTCAAACTGGTGCCCAAATAGGATGCTGGCACTGTAGGCAGCAGCTTTTCCCACCAACCATAGCGCTGGCCCTACAAGTGCTCCAGTTCTGATACAGCACCCTCTTAATGGCCTGGGAAAAGCAGCAGAAGATGGCTCAAGGGCTTAGGCCACTGCCAACCATGTGGGAGACCCGGATGGAGTTCCAGGCTCCTGACTGTAGCTGGCCCAGCCCCAGCTGTTGTGGCCATCTGGGGAGTGAACCAGCAGATGGAAGATCTCTCTCTGTCTCTCCTTCTCTCTTTGTAATTCTGACTTTGAAAAAAATTAGTAAGTCTTTAACAAAAAAGAATTCAAGGTTCTTGACTTCATTTCATGCTTCATATCATTTCAATAATACTTTTTTTCTATTTTAGAGTTATGTTTTCCATCTCAGAGTCTGTCTACCAATAAACATGAATTAAAATAGATTAGATGGCTATAAGGTAAAACTGTACCGTTTAGGTTAATTCCATTAAATTATTAATATTAATTTTTATTTAAGTTCACATTCTACCATATAAAGACAGATGGGATCTCCAAAAGAACCAAAATCATAAAATGCAACTTTAATGACAATTTTTCAAACATCAATATAAAGAACTGAATAGCAAGGGAAAACATTTCTCTCTCTTTTCTAAAGCTGCATTTGATGGGAATAGTCAATGTTACTTCTATATGTAACATTCACATGTTACTTCAATATGATATATCCTTAATGATAGAGAAAAGGCTGGTGCATAATTATTGCTCTTAATGTCAGAAAATAAAAACTATGTCATTTATATATTTTACCTTTCTTGACTAACAAGTAATTTAGTGTAAAAATCTTATATTCAAAGAAGGCAACTATCCTTTGTCTATTTTTTTTTTTTTAGTACAACTGTTTCCACATTACTTTATGTTTTACTGTATTCTTTACTTCTTTTAAGAGTGAGCAAGGAGGTAGGGGATAAGAAATTTAGAAACAGATGGCCAAAAATAATAGCAGTTTATAAAAGGAAGCCATTCCTTTTACACCATGTTAAACTCTCATAATTTTTTAAAACAACAAAATAAATTCTGAGTTAACACAAAAAGGATTAGGACAAAAAAATACTCATCTTTTCTATTAAAACAATCAAAGGATAGGAAAACTATAGCTCATTTTTATATTCAGGTTACCTACAGCCAAGACAAAATACATAAACAAACTATAAAAGGGTTATTAAATAGTAAGAACATGACTTACTGAGATGTAAAAAAGCACAAAAATCAACATGTAATTACTTACAGCAAGGGAAGATGTTTGCAGACAGGCATTTTTAATTCTTGGTATCAAAGCATTTTTCATGGACGGGTAGTCTATGAGATTTGCAAAGGTCGGAATGATGTTTAGACAGAGCTCCTATTAAGAAAATAGATCAATTATTAGAGAAAGATCATCTCATCTTTTTCCTTACATATTAAAAAACATTTCACATTTGCATGACTAATTTGTCATACAGTTTGAAATACTTTCACATATATTATTTGATCCTTTAAACAACTTGTTGAAGAAAGAATAGTTATGATTACTTTCCAATTTTATAGATGAGAAAATGGCTCAGAAGATCTTACTCAAGGTTTTACTAGGTTGTTATAACTAGCATATGGTATTCAAAACTCTGGTCACATTCCTCATTTCTTTGCCTGCTAACACAAATCCTCATTTAGTTTAAAAAATAGGAACACATAAATTCTGTTATCTTTCACATGAGAGAAAAGTTAAGTATGAAATCAAGTAAAAACAGACCTCTTAAAGAAAGGATTTCTTAGCTGGTTACTACCCATACCATGGAATACAAACTTTTTTTTTTTTTTAAAGTACTTTAAAAGAGTAAAAAATGTAAAAAGTAGCATTATATAATCTCAGTTTTTAAAATGTGTGTACACATCTGTCTACATGCTTCAGAAAAAAGTCTAGGCTATATCTGGAAATGCTAACTATGGCTATCTCTGAGAAAGGTTTCTCATTTTCTCTGCATTTTTAAGTATAGTCAGTCCTCTATATCCATTTTCATATCCATGGATTCAACTAACAATACATGTACACGTTTATCTGTAATTACTCCTAGTATGTAAGAGGATATGATACACATAGAATATATACAAATACAATGCTTTTCTATAAGGCATAAGAGTTTTATTCATGCTTACATGGGGTCTTCAAAAAGTTCACAGAAAATGAGCATTACAAAATCAATGCACAGATTTCAAAAAAATTTCTGTACCAAAACAAACTTCTTTATTCTTTGAAAATTTTAAAGTTTTACTCAAAAGGCTTAGAAAGAAAGAAACAGACAGACTGAGATTCTCCCATCTGCTGGTTCATTCCCCAAATGCCCACAACAGCCAGGACCAGGCCAGGTCAAAGCCGGAGCCAGGAACTCTATCCAGGTCTCCCACGTGGATAGCAGAGACCTGCTACAGAAGCTATCACCTCTTGCCTCTTAGGGTCCATATTAGCAGGAAGCTGGAAACAGGAGCAGAAATAGGACTTGAACCCAGGCACTCTGGTGTCCTAATTGCTAGGCCAAATACCCAGCACAAGTTAGCTTTCAATTCCATTTGTCATAAACTGTTTGAAGTACCCTCTTATAAGGGACTTGAGCATCCACAGATGTTGTTATCTATGTAGGTTCTGGAACCAATCCCTAATGGATACAGAGGGAGAATCATATTTCTACATTTTGAAATTAAAGCTAAATTAACTCATAGAAAACATGTATTTAAAACATTTTTGTTAATTAATGGTGACACACTACAAATGATTTTAACTGGGGACTCTGAATGGGAACAATATAAGGAAAGGGGGGGATGACTACAGAATGGAGAATCAAATAAGATAAAGAAAAGAAATGGCAGGGCTGGTGTTGCAGCATAGTGGGTAAAGCTGCCACCTGCAACATCAGCATCACATATGGGCTATATTCATCTGCTCTCCCAGGTGCATTAGCAGGGAGCTGGATCACATTTAAAGGACAGACTTTCCAAAGATGGGGGAGGAGAACTGGCAAGGGTTAACAGTCAGTGAGACACTGTGCTCCTGTTAACCAGAGGGTGACTATTTAAGGGAAATCAGCCTCTGAGAAGATATGGGAAGAGGAGAGAAAGGGAGGAAGAGAATTAGGCTTCCAGCAAAGTACCCTAAAACCTGTTTATTAAAAGGCAACTGGCCAGCGCTGCGGCTCAATAGGCTAATCCTCCGCCTGCGGCACCGGCACATTGGGTTCTAGTCCCGGTTGGGGCACCGGATTCTATCCTGGTCTCTCCTCTTCCTGTCCATCTCTCTGCTGTGGCCCAGGAGTGCAGTGGAGGATGGCCCAAGTCCTTGGGCCCTGCACCCCATGGGAGACCAGGAGAAGCACCTGGCTCCTGGCTTTGGATCAGCGTGGTGCGCCGGCCGCAGCGGTCATTGGAGGGTGAACCAATGGAAAAAAAGGAAGACCTTTCTCTCTGTCTCTACCTCTCTCACTGTCCACTCTGCCTGTCAAAAAAAAAAAAAAAAAAAAGGCAACTGATCATGTCTCTGTGGTGCAATTGTTTTGGTGCGTTCGGTTGTTAACTGAAAAGGCAACTGGAAAGTGCTATGCTGTATAATAAAATACGTAATGTTTTCCTATGAAAAAGGTACATATACTTTTGAAATTTTTGTTCATAATTATCCATTTAGAAAGAAGTAGAAAGAAGGTATACAGTAATCCAAACTACAGTAAATAAAGTATTTTGCCATAACAGTACATTTCTGATAAATAAAAGCAACAAATCGATTTAATAATGAAGGTATTAACTGATTCTTTAAATTAGCAGTAGATACATTTTATAACAGTATACCAATAAGGTAATTCAATAGATTTACTACAGAATTTATATAAAGTGTTTTATGATGTGAACTCAAATGTAGTTTACTTCTTTCTTCAGCCACAAGAAAAAACAATGTGTAACTCATACTCAAAATGTGCTGTACTTCTTCTGCTTTAAGAGTCAAAATCCAGCCAGTGCTGTGGTGCACTGGGTTAAACTGCTGCATGTATCGGCATCCTCTACCAGAGCACCAGTTCTACCTGCTTCCTGCTAATGCACCTGGGAAGGCAGTGGAAGATGTTCCAGTATCTGGGACCCTGCCACCCATGTGGGAGAACAGGATGAGTTCCCAGATCCCAGCTTCCACCTCTCCCAGACTTGGCTGTGTGGCTCTTTGGAGAGTGAACCAGCAGACAGAAGGTTGCTCACGCATTCTCTCTCTCTCTCTCTCTCTCTCTCTCTCTCTCTCTCTCTCTCTCCTCCCTCCCTCTCTTACTTCACCCCACCCCACCTCCCCACCCCACCCCGCCCATCTCTTTCTTTCTGGTACTTACCTTTCAAATAAAAAACCTTACAATAAAAAAACAATCAAAATCACCATGAAAGAAAAACAAATCAAATACAGTACCTGGATCTGAATAGAAGGAGCTTCTAGTGCTCTGTAAACCATTGGCAGGACACTGTTCTTTATCTCATCAGGAGGGGTTTTGGTCAATAGCAAGTCCATTTTTTGCAAGAAAATTAACAAAATCTGTTAGAAAAAAGAAAACAATGTATAAAAGTCTAGAATGTAAGGAGAATCAATACACATCAAAATTTAAAGTTTCTTCAAAAGTGTAAGATACGTATTTTGACACTCACCATGTTGCTAGCCTGAAGGCATGGAAGACAAAAACATACAAATCAAGTCTCTTACATTTCTGGAAGTGTATTACTACTTAATATCTGCTCTCAGTTTAAACATGTAAATAAGGACTAATTTCCTAAATCACATATATTTATGGTAATGCACCACTTACCCACAAGTACCAACTATCTGGAAAATTACTGGGTTTAAAAAAAAATCCTGAGGGCAGTAAAGTCGTATGTCCTGAAAAGTAAATTCCCTCACTCAACTTCCATACAGTTCCAGAGAAGAAGAGCAGGTACAGAAATGAAAAGGACTAATTATCCCTGATCACTCTTTCAGCCAGCTACCTCCATATACCTAAATTATAAAGAACAAATTGCCTCTTCTATTCATGCAGAATACTTTGTTTTGCCAAGGCTCGGCTAAAAATTCCTTCTGAAAAAACTTAACTGAAAAACTAAGAATAAAATAAATGCCAAAGAACTGAGGCAAGTAAGAATTCAGACTACAAACTCCTAAGGACACTATCTTGACTGACACATAGCTTAGGGAACATGTGGCTCCACCAACTTTCTTTCCTGACAACTTGACCACTTGGAGGCACCCAACTTCAAAGCCTATAGCTCCCTCAATTGCTCTTTTCCTAGTCTACCCAACTCTTTCCTAACCACTACAGACTGTGTTCTGCTTCCTTCCTTTGAAGGGGAAGAATATCAAGGGTCATAAAACCATTCTATCAGAAAGCTGATAGTTTACTAATAAGCTGTTGCCATATATGGGGCCAGGATTATGGCACATTGGGTTAAACTGCAGTGTGCAATGCCAGCATCCCATATCAGAGTGCCAGTCTGAGTCTCAGCTGCTCCACTTCTGATCTTTAATATGCCTGGGAAAGCAGGAGAAGATGCTCCAAATACATGGGCCCCTGCCACCCACATGGCAGACACCAAGATGGTGTTCAATGCGTCTAGCTTTAGCCTGACCCGGTCCTGGCTGTTTTGGCCATTTGAGGAATGAACCAGTGGACAGAACATCTTTCTTTTTATTTTATGTTTTTATTTTTTGACAGGCAGAGTGGACAGTGAGCAAGAGAGACAGAGAGAAAGGGCTTCCTTTTGCCGTTGGTTCACCCTCCAATGGCCGCCCCGGCCGGCGCGCTGCAGCTGGCGCACCGTGCTGATCCCATGGCAGGAGCCAGGTGCTTCTCCTGGTCTCCCATGGGGTGCAGGACCCAAGCACTTGGGCCATCCTCCACTGCACTCCCTGGCCAAAGCAGAGAGCTGGCCTGGAAGAGGGGCAACTGGGACAGAAACCGGCGCCCCAACCGGGACTACAACCCAGTGTGCCGGTGCCGCAAGGCGGAGGATTAGCCTAGTGAGCCGAGGCGCCGGCCAGAACATCTTTCTTTCTCCCACTCTCTTTCTCTGTCACTCTGTCTTTCAAATTAATAAGTAAATAAATAAAATCTTGGGGAAGTGCCATATAGAAAAAAATATAACAATATTTATGATGTATCAGAAAATTTCACTTAATCTCAACACCTTTCAATTTAGAAATGAGGAAATGAAAGCTTTAATATGAGGATGACTTATCCAAGTTATACTTCCAGCAAAAAGATAAGGAAGCTCAAATTCAAATCCAAGTGTATGAACTAATTGTTCTTAAATCCAACACTACCCTGAATCTAGCAAATAAATATTCTAAGTCTACATCAGAGACTGATAATTTTTACATGTACAATACACATATACATTATTTCCATGATGCTGTACACCACTTTCTTCTTCTAATGAGAGTATTTATTAGCAATAAAATAAAGATAAATAGTTGATATAGTCATCTAAAAATTGAAACATGTATGCACTGAATATATATAAATTATCACACTGTATATAGCCCATATAAGTACAATTAAAATAATATAAATACACAAATAATAAGCAAAAATACTTAAAAGTACAAGAAGAAAATAAATATTTCCTCTCTGAAATCTATAACTTTTAATAACGTCAATGGGAATAGTGCAACACATGCAAAATTTCACTGCAACTTATTTTCTGAGATAGCAACTTGTGGAGAGCCATAGCCATCTATCTCCCTATGAAGTTTTAATCATAATTTTAGAAGTGGTTTATTTCAAACATATATGCAAAACTGCTTTCTGAATAATGAAAAGTCTCGCACACTTACCTCATTTTTTAAAATGTCACATATTCATACCTTTTGCTTCCAGATACTAGTCATCATTAGTAACAACAGTAAATAAATGTATGAAAATATCTACGACATACCTGGATTGGCTCCTGTTGTTTAAATACAGGGCCAAGTTCAGGTAAAATTAACTTCACATATTCTTCTTTGGTACATTCCTCAGCAATTAGTAGAACATTGGGCAAAACAAAAGGTACCATGTCAGGGTTTACAAATTCTGAAGTCAAACAAGGCAAAATTCTCTGCACGATGACACGCTGAAAGGCAAAAATGTTTTTGTAAAGCTAAAGTTTAGTTCAAGCTTTTAGTATTAACACTGAAGTCTAAAACCTTCAATACCTTTAGGTAAGGTGATCCTGTAACTTATGGTTGATAGTAGTATAAGCTTGAGAGTAAAACGGGATGAGACTATTGCTAGTTATGTCAGGCCCAACAGTAAACTTGGGAATTTAACAGGAAAAGGGTGACAGGAAAAGGTTACCTTTAGGAAACCTTTCCTAATTAATCTTCACTGATGTGTTTCTCCTCTTAATTTCTTCACTACTTACGAATCATGCCACACAATTTAAATACTGTCTTGAATGGTTAATTGTTTTATTATTCATGCCAATCCTATCTACACTTACTGTAATGGTCTTGAGAGTAGGAATTCTTTGTTTATGCTTCCTCTTTACTTTTCATAGCATTTAAGTAAAGTGCTAGACAGTGAGTTACTGATAAACACAGGAAATATTTTTGTGAATAAGAATTACTGGTTTTCCAACCAGTGCCTTCTTTAGTATCCATCACTACCTTATAGACTACATTTCCCTCATGATTTAGTAAGTCAGAAGGGGAGAGTAAAAAGAACTGGAAAAGCCAGCATCTGTTAGTATTCCTTTAACTGCTGGTGAGTCAGTGATCCTCACAATGACACCTTATGGACTTCTCTGATAATGTCCAACTGCTGTCTTTGCAAACATTGTATCCTATTTCTTTTTGGAATACACACAAAAAGATACACTCAGGGCTGGCATTGTGGTAGAGTAGGGTAAAGCTGCAGGCTGCGACACTGGTATCCCACACCGGTGCTGGTTTGTGTACTGGCTGCTCCACTTCTGATCCAGCTCCCTGCTAATGGCTGTGGAAAAGCAGTGGTAGACAGCCCAAGCGTTTGGACCTCTGCCACCCACATGGGAGACCTGGATTGTTCCTGGCTTTAGCCTGACTCAGTCTAGGCCATTGAAGCCATCTGTGGAGTGAACAGCAGATGGAAGATCTCTTTGTCTCTCCCTTCTTCCACCTCTCTCTCTCTCTGTAACTCTTTCAAATAAATAAAGCTTAAAAAAAAAAAAAAGGTCCTCTAAACTAACTTTTGGCTTCAGTCTGCAGTCTTTCATAGTCATTTGTATACCTAAGGCAAAAGTTACATTATTGCGTTAAGAGAATTATTATGGTAAATCAAAATAAACTTTGAATTTTAAATGCTGTCTATAATAATAAAAAAACTAATAAACAAACCTTGGGAAGTTTTGGTAGAACTTTTGGCAGTCCTTTGAAAAACTGTGATTTCTGAAGATTATCTCTTTGGAATAAAGTATCAAAATATTGCAGTGTTACTGCACCAACATCATCAAAGAAAGGAATCTAAAATATGGAAATAAGTTATTCTGATAAATATTCAGAAATTTTTAGCATAATACTAAAGAATACTTTAACAAAAATTTATAAAATAATAAGAAAATAATAAATTATTTTTCTCTTCAAGTTCAAATCTGTGATTTGGAAACTGGCTGGGCAATTTCTTTTGCACAGCCTTAAAATAATGAAAGATTAAGTAAAATATCTTGAAGGCATTAACTTCTATAATAAATAACTAGTACTCTTAATGTACTAGTTATTTATTAAATTTCACACTCATATAAGTAAAACAGAGGGCATTATGAGTCCAGAATTTCTGCATACCTGACAGAAATATTTATTTGAACTTTTAATTTCCTATCACAGCACTATACATAAATTATTTAGCTGTTTAAGAATAAAAGTTGTTGAATATTTAATACAATCAAGAATACAGATGTTATATAGAGAATACGCATATGATTACATCTTGCTTTAGAAGAACTTAATCTACTTCCAACTTTTTGCTGACCCTCTAAGATAGAAATCCATGTGTACTCACCTTTGTCATTTGATCTGCATCTGGTCTTACAGTTGGAGTAACATTTAACAGTAGTTTAACATGTTCACGGACTTCCTCAGGTATATTAGTAAGTGAACTAGATCCTAAACGACTCAACTATTCAAAAGAGTGATAACATCAAATATGAATAGAAAACATTAAAAAAGAAACACATTTACTTAAGTCTATTTAAGAAATCTTTTAAAAATGTCTTTGGTATATTTAAAGACTGAAAAAATTGCTAATTCTACTGCTGCAAGACAATTAAAACATTTATATTTAATATGCACATTATTTCTATTCTTAAAATGTCCAATACTATAGACCACAGTTCAATATTCACTCATGTAAACAGCATGTTAAATTTGTAGTAACAAATTTTGGTCCTCATATTTATAGAATTTTATTAAAGTGATTTTATGTAAATTTAAAATGAGACACTCATCTCATTTAGAGAATTTTCTGAACACATTTTAGACAAAAAAACAAAGAAATGTTTAATACATTTTTAATGCAAGCAAATATTTACAGGCAAATACCTGATCCAACTGCCTACTGAAGCTCTTGTAAATATCTTGCTTGTTGACTTCAAATATAGGTTTTCCTTTATTAAATACAGCATATATAACAGTTCCTAAAGAATACATATCGCTGGCTGTTTCACAGCTCACAGAAAGAATGTATTCAGGAGCCAAATATTCAGGATTTGGAAGACACAATGACGGTAAATTTGGGTCCCATTCTTTACAAGGAAACTTTGGCTGTTACAAGATATAAAAGGAATTACATACATTAAATATTTCAAATTAAAGCAAACCACTAAATTTATACTCAAGGTGGGCGTTTGGTGTAGTGGTTAAAAATGCTGCTTGGGATGACCATGTTCCACCTCAGAGTGCCTGGCATTAAATCCCTGTTCCACTCCTGACTTTAACTTCCTGCACTCCCAGGGAGGTAGCAGGTGATGGCTCAAGTAGTTGGTAGCCTGCAACCCACATGGGAGACCCACACTTTGTTGCCAGTTCCTGGCTCTGGCTCAGCCCTGCCCTAGCTGTTGTGGACATTTGGGAATGAACCAGTGGATGGGAGAATCAATCAATCTCTCTCCCTCCCCTTCACTCCCATTGCTCTGCCTTTTAAATAAATAAGATTTAAAAAATCAATATGCAATCATGCAAGTCAAAAATTCTATCAGCATCTTTAATCCTAAAATTTCCAAAATACTGAAATCAGGAAAATGTATGCAACAAGTTAAGAGACAAAGAACTCTAATAATTTTGAGACTACTGGAGAAGACAAATTAGCACTTTAAGATGCAATATGAACATACAAAGGTCTTGCTTCTGTTTTGTGACACACAAGCTTCAAGTTTTATGCACTAAAGTAAAGACAGATGTTTAAAACTTTGCTGTTTGTGGCCGGTGCTGTGGTATAGCAGGTAAAGCTTCCACCTGCAGTGCTGGCAACCCATATGGGTGCTGGTTTGAGTTCCAGCTGCTCACTTCCGATCCAGCTCTCTGCTATGGCCTGGGAAAGCAGTAGAAGATAGCTCAAGTCCTTGGGCCTCTGCATCCACGTGGGAGACCTGGAAGAAGCTCCTGGTTCCTGGCTTTGGATCAGCCCAGCTCTAGCTGTTGCAGGCATTTGGGGAGTGAACCAGCGGATGGAAGATCCCTCTCTCTGCCTCTGCAACTCTGACTTTCAAATAAATAAATAAATCTTTTAAAAAAATTGTTGCTTAGCTAACTAGCTCTGTGATTTAGTTAATAGATTAAAAAGATTGTAATAAGAATTAAATAAATGTGGAAGCTGCACCTACCATAGTACCTGATTCATATTTGTACTCAACCAGTATTAATTCTTTCTTATTTCCTTAAAAATGACTTCTTAATTTATCAATGTATCTTGGGTCAAAACTTGATCTCTTTTGACAATATACACTAAAAACCTGAAATATAAGGTGCTGAATCTCAAAGAATCAATCAACACAAAACAGGATTGATTGCAGGCAGCATGAACAGGCCGGCATCCTAATCACTAAGAAACAGGCACTTTGGAAGCAGAAAGACTGGGTTCAAATCTTGGCTCTATTACTTACTGCCCATATAAACTTAGGCAAGGTTATGTTATTCCATGAGCTAACTTACTTGACTGTACTATCCCTATACCCATTGAGTCGTGATGAAGATTTTTTTTTTTTTTTTTTTTTTTTTTTTTTTTTGACAGGCAGAGTGGACAGTGAGAGAGAGAGACAGGTGAGAAAGGTCTTCCTTTGCCGTTGGTTCACCCTCCAATGGCCGCCGCGGCCGGCGCGCTGCGGCCGGCGCACCGCGCTGATCCGATGGCAGGAGCCAGGAGCCAGGTGCTTTTCCTGGTCTCCCATGGGGTGCAGGGCCCAAGCACCTGGGCCACCCTCCACTGCACTCCCTGGCCACAGCAGAGGGCTGGCCTCGAAGAGGGGCAACCGGGACAGAATCCGGCGCCCCGACCGGGACTAGAACCCGGTGTGCCGGCGCCGCTAGGCGGAGGATTAGCCTAGTGAGCCGTGGCGCAGGCCTCGTGATGAAGATTAAATACGTAAATACACGAAAAATGTTAGAAGAGCACATCAATATGTTAGCTATTATTATCACTGTTGTTACTGTTATTATGCTCCATATAGAGAATTCCATGGTCCAATAAGTTAGGGAAACATTGTTAGAGATTCACTATATTTCTTAGTGTTTTTTATATTCTACGGGAGAAAAGACAAGGAAAATCTTATAAACCCAACAAATTCTCAAATTTATTTAACTCTGTGGGGAGCAACTCGGACTAGACTAAGTTACTGGAATTAAGACTTATTCTATGCATCTGCTCTCCCACAATATGGCGCTGAGAAGGGAGAAACAGCTTCTACACAGCTGCCTCTAGTTCAACCAACAAACTGTAGGATCTGCTCCTGACTGGAGGAGAGCAGCGTACTCGGCGTGTGGGTAGCAGAGTTGGGATTGGCAGAAGAGGACTATAAAGGAGGAGAGAGACAATATGCACCAGGAACATCTAAGGGGAACATCTATCTGAAGGAACACCTGTGCAGCCCCCGAGAGAGCCGGCCGGCGGTGTGCCACTCCCCCGTGGAAGTGGGGAAAGTGGCTAGGGGGAACCGCCCTTCCACGGAGGTGGAAGGGTCGGTAGCCAACCCGGGAAGAACCAGCAGCAAACCCGGGAAGGGCCGAGCAGACAAAAGAACAGCGCAGGGTCCTGTGTCGTTCCTCCACGAAGACGGGGAGCGACATAATGGTGCCGTGACTCGGATGTGAAGCCTAGGCAGGGTTTTGTGTCGTTCCTCCATGAAGAGGGGGAGCGACATAATGGTGCCGAAACCCGGGAAGAACCAGCAGCAAACCCGGGAAGGGCCGAGCAGACAAAAGAACAGCGCAGGGTCCTGTGTCGTTCCTCCACGAAGACGGGGAGCGACAAACTCCAGCATCTTTTTCTCAAATAACATTACCACAGAGTTAATGAGGTGAAGAATACTCTTAGGTACAATGAACACTAGAGACTGCCTATAAAGCAGTACTGTATAGTCTATTTTTTTATTTAAAAATTTTTTTATAATTTACTTATTTCACTTGAAATGCAGGGTTGCAGAGAGAGACACAGAGAGAGAGATCATCCATCCTCTGGTTCACTCCCCAAATTCCCACAATGGTCAGAGCTGGGCCAGGCTGAGCCAGGAGCCAGGGAGCTTCTTCTGAGTCTCCCACATGGCTGGCAGGGGCCAAAGTACTTGAGCTATCTTCTGCTGCTTTCCCAGGAGCATTAGCAGGTAGCGGGAAAGTAGAGCAGCTGGGACTTGAACTAGGGTCCACACAGGATACTGACATTGCAGGTGGCGGCCTATCTTGCTACACCACAATGCTGACATCCACATAACCTATTTCTACACCCTATCAGATTTGTAAATTCCTGGTCCATTCTAGATGCAATCACACATTTCCATGGCCTTAAAAAATTATAAGACTAAAATCTTCATTACCTCTTGTTCAGAAGGATTGGTTGATGATAAACAAAAATCAAAACCCATTATTTTCCAGGCTCCACTTTTATTCAAAATTATATTTTCAGGAGTAATATTTCCATGAACCATCTTCACACTGCTATGTAAAAATGACAAACCTTCAGAAACCTGCAGACAGGAAAAAAAACCAGGTATTTTTACATTAAACAAAACTTTTTTGATTAAAATAATAAAATGTCTCATAAAAATCAATATTATTGCTACTTCTTCCAAGAACTTTGTATATCAGCTAGTAAGCAAATTTAATCATAAATTCAAGAGTGTAGATCTTCTCAGTTGCTATGATAACCTAAACATTAGTGGAGAAAATTCAGTTATAAAAACCAGAGTACAATTATTAAGTTCCTCCCTATACATACATGAACAAAAGAAAAATGACAAAAGCATCCATTGCTGCCAAATTTATTTAGAGTTTGAAAAGTAAAACAATCTCTGATTCTTGAATTACACATTAGTGGAATATTCAGATTTTATATATTTACATTCTATATTAATATTCAGTTTTTCTGAACAGTATTGTGTTCAGTTTTCATATATTCAAGTGACCAATGTTCACTTAATTTCACATCAGGCTAATACTTGGTCCTTTTTTATTTGTGTTTGAGATTATAAGAAAATTTGTAAAATTAAACTGAAGGTTGGATTTTTGTTCCAAGAAACGAGCAGATTTTGGAAAACTAATACTCCCTAATTTCCAGGACACTGTTTCACTTGGCTTTTTCCCCAACTCTACTGGTCCCTACTTTCCGTCTCACTTCTGTACTCAATGTCTGGGCCTCTGCAATTTTCCATCTCCCCTCACTTTCTCAGGGTTTTCACAACTTTAGCTATAGCTACATGCTGATTATCCCAAAGTCTCCAGTCTGGGTTTCGGTTCTAAAGTCCAGACTTGATCATTTCCCTTCCTGAGTCCCCTCCCCTTGAAGGTTTTCTAAGAATCTGCAACTGAGCTTCCCTCAGAATTCAAGTCTCTTCTCCCACATCTTTCACTTCATTTGGTCCAGTTGCTTAAAACAAAATCCTTTGACTTATCCAATACTCTGTTTTTTATACAGTGAGTCTTTGATACATCTACTGTCAACATACACTCAGAATTTCATCCTATCCTACTACATGGACCGGATGACTGCAGTAGTCACCTACTTCATCTTTGTTTCTGCTCTAAATTCTCATGACAGCAGCTACAGTCATTCAGTTAAAAACAAACAAAAACAAAAAACAAATATAAACAAAGCAAAATGTAACCCAGATCAGGCTGCTTTCCTAAAACATGCCAAAGGCCTCTTTTTTTTTTCTCTTGAGTAAAATCTATTTCCTGGCTTTCAGGGCCTAACAGGATCTAGCCACCCATTACCTCTCTAGTCTTATTTCCTACTATGCTTCTTCTTGCTACTTTGAAATAGCCAAAAACAATTTTAAAGAAAAAAAAAAACTCTTTTATACATGTTGAATAAAAAAGCATACCTGAAGCAAACCATATTTGGTTTCGACATCATAAAGTTTATAATCCTTGATTTCTGGAGATATAGAGGAAGGAAGGTTTTCCCAGTTACCAAGAACATTGGCTAAACTGGCAAAAACTGGTTCTGTACAAAATGCCAAGCAATCTCTGTTTTAAAAAAGAAAGAGTTACCTTTTATTTCTTTACACATTGTCCAAATAAAATATACAGAAAATATTAACTGTCCTATTAAACTATCAACCAGAAGGAAGACCGTTTTAGATTCGTTAGTGTCAGCCTAAATATAATACCCTTAAATCAACAAGTCAGAAGGCTTTTTTTTTAATGAATTATACAAGATGGATCACTTTCTTTTAAACTGTTGCAAATTGTGATATATTCTCTAAAACTTAAACAGCACAGTATTTCAAGGGTGCTTTTTCAAATGATTGATATCCTTTAGGAAAACCAATGGGGAACAATTTAAAGTACTGTTATATTACACGTATGACACTTATTTCTAAGTCTGTAATTTTCAGAATGTACTCAAAGAAGCCTGTGGATTTCTCACAGACATGCCTAGAGCAAAAGTAAGGAAGAGGGGCAGCGCATAGCTCCAGGTGCCCCATCCCCACTCCAATCAAAGCAGCTATGCTTTTATATAGTTTAAAAATCACGTTGAAAGGTGTCAACAGTTTTTAAATTCTTAAATTTATTGCTCTCTGTTGTACAACAAGATCTACAAATTCACAAAATGTTAGGTGCTAACATTCAGTAGCCTTACAGAATAATTTTTTCTCAAGGACTACCACCCCCAACCATAGCTACTTACCAGTTATTCACTCCTGAACTTTTACTTATTTTTAATCTTATTTATTTTCACTTACTTGAAAGGCAGAGCAATAGACAGACAAATACAGTGACAGAGAGAGATCTTCCATCTACTGGTTCACTTCCTAAATGTAACAACAGCCATAGCTAGTTCACTTCCTAAATGCCCACAATCACTAGGGCCAGGCTAGACCAAAGCAAAGAGTCTAGAACACAATCTGAATCTCACAAGTAGGCAGCAAGAACCGAAGTACTTGAGCCGTTATCTGTCATCTCCCAGAGTGCACATGAGTAGGAAGCTAGAATTGGAAGTAGAGCCGGGACTGAAACCCAGGCACTCCCACATGGGATGTGCCATCTCAAGTAGCATCTTATGTCCTTATGTCCTGCACCAAATGTCCACCTCCATGTTTAAATCACCATAAAAGAAGCTAACATACTGGTGATTCCCCCCTTAAGGTAATTAAGATATAATTACTAGATATAAGACATACAAATACAAGGTAAAATAAGTATGGGTAAGATTCTCACAGGTGACACTATAGCCACTGATAAAACACTCCAAAGGAAATAGCTTAAACACAGAGTCAGCAGTGTGCAAGACAAGTGTGGCAAATTAGTCCCCTCAGATTTAGAAAGCACAATGGGGGCAGGAATTTGGCATAGCAGTTAAGACACTGGGACACCTAAATCCTGCATCACAGTTCCTAGGTTAGAGTCCCAGATCTGTTCCTAATTCCAGCTTCTCTGGAAGGCAGCAGATGATGGCTCAAGTACTTGGGTCTGTGTAACCCATGTAGGAGACCCAGATTCAGTTCCTGGTTCCTGGTTTTGGCCTAACCCAATCCTCATGTCCTGGCTGCTCCTCTTCCAATTCAGCTGTCTGCTATGGTTTAGGAAGGCAGTGGAAGATGGTCCAAGTGCTTGGGCCCCTGCACCCACGTGGAGAACTGGAAGAAGCTCCTGGTTCCTGGCTTCTGATTGACCCAGCTCCAGCCATTGCGGCCATTTGGAGAGTGAACCAGTGGCTGAAAGACCTCTCTCTCTGTCTCTCCCTCTGTCTGTAACTCTACCTCTCAAATAAATAAAATTAAAAAAAATTTTTTTTTTAAAAAGAGATAGCAAATATGTCTTCTGGGTTTACTTATAAAAAGAAGAAATAAAAAAAATGTTTCATGATAAAAGACATAAGAGCATAATTCTGGGTAGGCAAAGAATGGTACAGTATACGAAAAAAAAAAAAGCCCCAGGAATTGCGACGAAGAATCTCAGTTGACACACACAGCCATCCAGTTTAAGTAACATCTCTGATGCTATTCTCTTACATAATTATGAGATTTAAATAAGTTAAACAGGCTAAAGCACTTTAGCATAATTTTTGACATGGTAGATGTTTTTCCTTTTTTTTTTCTTTGAAAGAATCCCTTGCCTTTAAGAGGCTATTGGCCAAGGGGCCAAGAGACATTTGGGAGAGTAAAGAATGGTTATGAAGATTCCAAATTATTAATTTCACAGAAATTAAATTTATAAAATCTGAGGGGTCTTTAAAGAGTTCACAAGCGTGTATTATGAAAAAACTATGGATTTTAAATTTTTTGCACTAAAATATTTTTTTAAAATCCAGTCTCTCAAGAACTTTCTAAAGTACCCTCATAGATAAAACTTGGTTTGTTTTGGTTAAAGAGAGATGGGGCATAAGGAATCCTGCTATCTCTGCATGTTCCACCTGCCTGTTTCTCTCCCATCCTTAGAGTCCTAAGGACCAGAAAACACAATCAGCAAACCTCTTGATTAAGATCCTTTGAATTAACAGCTGGGAATATAATCTGCTAGAGATGAGGAAGGAAGAAATTTGAGGTTATGATGTGGAGAAAGTTTACAAAGCAAGGGTATCTAGAGAAGTCTGAGGCAAATGTGAATAAAGTGTTAATATTTCAAAAGGAGACACAAACATAGATAATTCAAATACATTTTAGGAAAATAATCCATAAGAATTCAACATTTGGCTAATAAAAATTTTTCATTGACAATATTTCAAATAGATTTCAAACAGTTATTTTGAACTATTTTTTTCAGGAAATTTTCTATATAAATTTCTTCTAAAAAAATTTACCTTGATTCCTCTAAAGGATGCTGAACAGTAAGAAGCCGAGGGTGTCGTAGCCGAGTCAACTGCTGGACTCCTCGTTTTAGAGAATCGATGATTTGATCCTTTTCAAATTTTTGGTATTTGTCAATCAGCTTTTTATCAAAGACAAAAACAGCCACTTCCTAATAAAATAATTTTAATCAAGTTAAACATATAAAAGTAATAAAATTATAGTTGAGTTTCACAACAGTCTACATAGGAATAACTAAAAACTAATGCCATGGAAATTGCAGAACCACTGTAACGTTCTTCTGAAATAAAAAAGTTGGTGTCTTAGTGATTAGTAATTCTAAATATTTTTAAAAGTATGAGATCCAGAATCCTCATCTAAAGAGAACACAACAAACTCCCACCTTTGAATTCAGGTATCAGAAGCATGTATAACTGTATGTAATGTGTTGCTCCCCCTATGTAGAAATCTCTTATTTAACCAGAACTTACACTGAAGTTCAAATGTTTAAAAATCCATAATGGTATTCACTAAAGCCCTGGAGTTTATTATAAAATCTTGGAGAGTTTTTTGAAAGGAAAGTTTTAAGTCAGGAAGCGCTTACTTATAAAAATGCTAATTCACAAGCAATTTTTGACACATAAATAAACTATATTCTCTATATTGCCCTTCCCCCAATTTGTTATGGGTAGTAAAGGAATGGTTACTAGTACAAGAAGTTCTTCCCCTATCACCACTCTTTGAATTAATTCACAGCTTACTCATAATATTAATATTATGATATTAATATTAAAAGTACATACTCTGTCTACAATTTCTTTTCTTTCTCCCTCAGTTACCAAAGGAACTATATCTGACCTGCTTCCACCTTTTTAATAAATCAACCAACAAATAGCCTTGACATGAGGTGAAAAACAGCTGCTGATGGGTGACAGCCTATGAAGTAGTCTTAATATTATCTAGTATTGGGGCTAGCGGTGAGGCGCAGCGGGTTAACGCCCTGGCCTGAAGCGCCAGAATCCCATAGGGCTCTCGTTCTAGTCCCCGCTGTTCCTCTTCCGATCCAGCTCTCTGCTATGGCCTGGGATAGCAATAGAAGATGGCCCAAGTCCTTGGGCCCCTGCACCCACGTGGGAGACCTGGAAGAAGCTCCTGGCTCCTGGCATCGGATTGGCTCAGCTCCTGCCGTTGCGGCCATCTGGGGAGTGATCCAGCGGATGGAAGACCTCTCCCTCTCTGTCTCTACTTCTCTCTGTAATTAACGCTGTCTTTCAAATAAATAAAATAAATCTTTAAGAAAATATATTATCTAGCATTATCATGTTGTTATATTTTATGTTGTTATATTATTAGGAATACTTCATAGAATTATTGGAGAATAAATGACAAAGTAATATGAAAGTTATCACAATACCTGATATATTATAAACATTCAATAAATGTTAGCTAACAGTGTTATACCACTGATTAACAACATGATCTATACTTTGTTATTTTTCTATTACCGGTAACAGCTTTCTGTGAACATAAATTGGACAAATAACACCGTTCTGAGCAATGATATGCACATTTAAGACCAACAGTCAGGAAGTATCTTTGAAAGACAAGAGACTCATCAGACTGTCAACTTCGTAAAAAACATGAACACATTAGGCTAAACAAAGTGATGTAATATATACCTGATTCCACACCTATATTACACAGACACAAATAATCAGCATCACATTAGAGTATATCAGAGGTTAAAAGCCCAGTTTCCAGAGCTACATAAACCTAAATTGAAATCCCACTTCTGCCACCTATTTTTGTTGACCTTGTCTCAAACCCTGGTATTATTTTCATACCAGAGTCATAAAAGGAATAAGATAAAGAATGAACATACTATAATATACTCTATAGGTGAAGTTTCAGGTATTAGTCTACTAGAGAATTTTACAAATTTTGTAGACATTCCCAAGTTAACTACTTACAGAAATAACAATAGCTAATATTTGTATAGTTAAATCCAAGCACTGTTCTAATGTTGATCAAGGGTTGTTTCTTCATAGCAATCCTATAAACAAGTTATTATTACCTTTACAGATAAGGACACTGTTTCATTTAAGATAATGTAAATGTTTCATTTAAGGGGTAATGTTTTAATTAAGGGGTAATGTTCATTAAGGGGTAATGTTTTAATTAAGGGGTAATGTTCATTTAAGGGTAAATGTTTCATTTAAGATCTCACAATGAGTGAGATGAAAAATCAAGATTCAAAATAAGTACTTTAATTCTAGAAGAATAATCTTAGTCAATATATCATTCTATTTACCCAAAAACAGCACAAGGCAAACATGGCACACAAAAGGAAAACGTGTGCCTCCAGGCAAGGAATCATTTGAGTGACAGCTTTAAATAGCTGTCATATATAAACACATAATCATAGTTCTTTTGACCGTTACAACACACAGGACAACTAGGAAATAAGAGTTTTATGTAATATTAATTTGAATGAAAACTAATGACCTAGAAGTTCAAGTTCTCAGCTCACCAATAATGTGCACAATCCTATTTTAGTGTTTTGCTATAACACATTTTATAAATGCACTTAATTTAAACGCGTTTATTTCTTCAAGATGTTGTAAGTCTTGAGAAAAAAATATCACCTGAAATGGCTCTTGAGTTCTCAGCTTGAGTACTCTATAAAGAACACAATAGTTCAAAAAGAAAAGAAACAATATAAAACTCTTTCTTTCAAACACTCATTTATTGTTTTAGGTCAAAGATGATTGATTCCTACATAGGTTAGAACAAGTTTTCAACTCTCTTAAAAATTTTTTTCTCTGTTTCAATCATGTAAAATTAATTAATTACATAAAAGTGGTATTATTAATCCCTCAGGTTTCATATTGACTTCCTTAAATAAAATTTGCACTTTTTACTTCAAAATCTTTCGTCAGAATTTAGCATCATCTTCAATTTATGTTTTTCTTTCAGTACTGTGCTACACTCCCCACTCTGCTGACACATATCACTTCTTGTAAGTCTTGTCATGTTGAAGGACTTTCAAGAAACAATGAAGAAACAGTCCCTTATGTGTCTCTGTATGTCCCACCGGATCTAGTAGTTTCTTACAGCTGGAAGACATTCAGATGTTCATCAGCTACTGACAATAAAGATAAGCAATTAATAGGTTTTTTTTTTCTCATTTTATTTGAAAGGGAGGGAGGGAGAGAGAGAGAAGAGAGGAGAGAGGAGAGAGGAAAGGGGAGGGGAGGGGAAGGGAGGAAGAGAGAGATTTTTCCATCCACTGGTTCACTCCCCAAGGAGAGGGGAGAGGGGAAAAGAGGGGAGAAGAGGGCAGAAAGGGGAGAAGAGGGGAGAGGAGAGGGGAGGGGAGGGGAGGGGAGGGGAGGTGGGGAAGGGAGGGAAGGGGAGGTTCACTCCCCAAATGCCCATAACAGCCAGACCAAAACCAGGAGCCCAGATTCCATCCAGGTCTCCCACATGGGTGGCAGGGATTTAAGTACTTAAACTGTCATCTGCAAGCTCCCAAAATGCATATCAGCAGGAAGTTGGATCTGAAGTAGAGGGTAGCCAGGACACCAACCAGACACTCTGAGATGTGGACATTCCAAGAGGCAGCTTACCCTGTGCACCATGCCCACTCCATTATCAGATTAAAATATTTTCAACTTTTTATTATGACAAATTTCAAATGTATAAAAAAGATGAATTAGTACAACAGCCAGCATATCTTCTACTTAACAGTCAGTAACCTCCAACTCTAATTAAAATCTGAGATCTTTTTTTATAAACACACTATTGACAAAATATAAACAATAATTGACATTCTACTACTTACTCAAAGCATATTCCTTAAAACACATTGGTAAAGAAGGTTACCTACTAAAAAAGCATTTTTTCTTCAGCAGCCTACCTCTAAAGAAAACAGGCTCTAAAATTATTCTAAAAACTGTAGTAGTTGTCACAACAGGATGTTCCATTTGGTTTAGACTTAATTCATAATTTTTAAAAATTTGCTTACTGCATAGCTGAAAACAAGATAGTTCAATTAATAAAATCCATTGCATAATGTAAAGTCCTCCACTAACCTAGCCACTAGAAATGCTCTCTGAAATACAGATGGTTCTGTGATTTCTACTTTATGGACCCCTACTAACTGGCCACAGGTGACTGCCAAGCATCATACTTTTCATTTTTAACCTAATTTTTGATAATATTCTTTGTTCAAAACAATTAAATGAAACTTTCATTTACATTAATTTATAAATAGGTTTATTTTTTAAAAGACTGAAATGTAACAATAGGTACCCCTTAAAATTATTAGATATTCAGTGATCATTTTTTATCTAAGCCAACTTGACTGGCAGATTCAGCTCTGCACAATGTCAATGTTTAAAACTTTTAATTACCAAAATTATTTATTAAAATTTAATTGCACATTTGTCCACATAATAATAGCAAGCCTAACCGAAGAATACTGACATTGGAAAATATAATGTAGATTTTATAATAAGTAAGGAACTATGTTGAAGCCTACATGGACTTCATGAACAATTAAATTTCTACCATATAACCATTTTTAAATCAATCAATTTTCTCTATCTTCAAAGGTGGAAACAATCATTTATTTGAAGGTGTTATAAAGTTCCTTAAGAAGTCAGGAAAAAAAACCAGGCCAATAAATACAACTTTTAAGGCAAATTATCACCAAAGCTTCCTATTTAAAGAAGTTTACTATAAAAGTGGATATAAAAGTCATAATAAGTAAATGTGGGACATTAGAAGACAACTAATAAATGTTAAGTCAAATCAGTTTTGAAGAGTAGTTACCTGGCAATGTTGAATTTGTGTCAAGATAAATAGAAATATTTAATAATAAATGCTTAAATCACCAGAGACCAGGCAATTATATATATAAACATATACACATATACATGTTATTTTCTTTAAATTTTTAAATGTATTCATGAGAGGAATAGCTCCCGTCTGCTAGTTCACTCCCCTCAAATGCGTGCAATGGCCAGGGTTGGGCCAGGGTCAGACCTGAATCCAAGAACCAGGAACTCAATCCAGGTCTCCCTTGTGGGTCGCAGGGATCCAACTACTTGAGCCATAACACTTGCTGCTTCTGGGGGTCTACACAGCCAAGGAGATGCAATCAGGAGC